TGATTTTGCCTGTCGCAAGGAGTTTGTTCTTGCCACTGGGGTGTCATTAGGTGCACGCTAATCCTTCTGGCTTGGAAGAATCCTGGTCCCGTGGATAAAGGCGGATTCCTGATACCGGAGGGTTGGTGCTCCCTTGAGAGGCGGTATCGAGCACGCCGTGTGTCAGCACTTGTCCCTGCTGGCGGCAGAATTCAGTATTGTCAGTTTAATAACGAGATCTCATTGCTATTGACCCGCTTTCAGTGCCGCGTTCCTGCAGCGTGCTTCGCTGCGGGGCTTATCTGGCTTTTGAACGTGGTTTACCGAGCGATAAAGGCGTAGCTTATTAAATACTAAAGAACGCATTCTGGCAACACTGAGGCTCTGGCTTTGAATTTCCTGGCTTTTGTTGGTTTAAGTAAAAAGGCCAAATTAATCTTTGGTGTAAACATACTGACTTCAGTTAATTCACAGGAAGTGAATTGGACTTCTTATGTTTACACGGGGGTAGACCCAGTCAGGAGGGGTGATGTTGCCCAGAAAGAGGGAAGAATGCATCTCCCGTTCTTGCGCGTGTCCTGCTTTCAAGGAGCAGAGGAATGCTCTTTGGGGAAGGGGCGGTCTTTTATTTGTCGTGGCAATGTGTTGTGGCTAGCGTGGGGGGCCCTGGCTCTTCGCTGCGATAACGCAAATAAAACGTAACATTGATATTCGGCAATTCTTATTTTGCGTTTACTGGGTAGTTTATAATACGATACCGCTTTTCATATTTCTGAGGGTACACATTTAAGATAGCTCAGATCTAGAAGCAGAGTGAATTTGTACTTCTGGGGGTTGTGTTGCCTTATTGTGTGACCTGGGACAGTTCAGGTTACGTTTCTAATCCCGTGGGATGTAGTGATTCGTACGGATCGTAAAATTTAGGTCGTGTTCTGTAATGTTGCGTACTTCGAGCACTGCTTTAACGGGAGCGAGGTGAACAAGAGGCCACGAAGAGCGAAAGCGGGGAAGAAAGGCTCTGTTTAATATCAGGCGCTGCAGAAAGAAAAAGAACCCGTCGTTCCCGGGAGCGCAGGATGTTTATGGGACATTTACGGTGAGATGAGTGGGTGGATCGGGAGGGCGGCGGGGGATCCACCCTGGCGGGCAGCGGCTGGAGGCGGCGGTGTGGTGTGCTTTGGAGACGGTCATCTGCAGACGGGCTCTCCAAGTTACTGCTCTCCTCTGTTCCTCCTTGTACGTGGAGATTATTTCTTTGTAATAAATATATTACATAGCTCTATAGTCAGATTCATGGGCATATGATACCTCTCAGGATTTTATTTATATGAGCCATTGATTCTAGCGAGTAAAACGCACGTTGGTCTCACACGTGTGATATTAATTTTTCCCTGATTTGCCTTGTCCAAGCCTCAGATAAGGGAAAGAAGCTGCCATCGATCAGTGGCAGATGCCCTGGACCTAAAATGTTAAAAGCTAAGAGTGGTGTTTCCAAATGGTCCCCTGGAAACCTTACACAAGTGTCCAACTTAAACTTCTTCAGATTTGGATTCCCAAAAACTGGTCTTCTATATTTCTGAGGGGCTGGAAGGGCTGGAAACAAGAATTTGGTGCTGTTAGGGAATGAGGAAACGTATCTTCTTTGCCACTGACACCTAATGCTTCCTGCCAAGTCTACAGTCCCGTAAGGCTTATCGTTTTTGGCTTTGAAAAAATTTAGGTTTCTTCTTAAAGTAGCCACACATCTAAAGTTGATTGCCTATCCGCCCTAAGCGCTGTCTGATTAGATTAGCCTAATAACTGGATCTGCTTTGCGGAAAATGAGTTTAAAAATACTGAAAGACTTCATGTTTTTTCTCCCCTGTAATTCTGGTGTTTGGTCCAATGTTTTTATTTCTTCTGCTTGCAAAACAGTGACTGAATTCTCTGCAATAGCTAATCGGAGGTAGATACCAGTAAAATATTTATGGTCGGTATGTTTATGTGTGCAAAATAAACACGCATTTTTTTTTGTTCCATTACATAAATTTATATTCTATTAGCTCTAATAGGTATAATATTCCATTAAATATAATAGAACTAATTATAATACAGTTATTCTGTGTTCTGTTCTTTCAAAAAATGAAAACATGATTTTCTAGCCGTGTATCTCTGAAGATCCAGCTGCTGTGTGAGTTAACATGGGTACATTTCATATATCGAAGGAGGATGAGTATTGAGTTGTAGCCCTTCTCTAACAACACTGAGGAGCGTTGCCTGTTACGCCTCCAGTGAGCATAGCCTCGCTGTCCAGCATGGTTCTGCAGGGCTGAACTACTGGTAGATGTCATTGTGTTCAAGGGAACGATAAGTTAGTATCTGCTGTGGTTTCTTGGCTTATGAGTGAGTCTAGGCAAGTGCAGATAGGCAATTCTGGAAGTCTTGGACTTGACCTCTCAGCAGGAAACAACATCCCGACT